AAAAAAAATTTTTTTTGAGATAGGGTCTCCCTGGTAGCCCGGGCTGGCCTTGTGATCTTCCTGCCTCAGCCCCATAGTGCTGGAATTACAGGAATGTGCCACTATGTCTGGCCAGGGAAATTTTTGCTTTTAAATGTCTCCCTAAGATTGTCTAGGCTGGACTTGAAGGTGTGATTCTCCAGCCTGCCTCAGTTTCCTGGAGTGCTGGTGTGCAGGCCTGTGCTATCATGATCCACAGGCAACTGATTTTTGATTACAAAGGTAAAAACTGTATGTTGTACGTATAAAATGACCACAAGGCTTAGTCATCCCCAAGCTGTTCTGGCTCCTTGGCATGTTAAAGAATTACTGCTTTTAGCTGGACTACGTCTGAAAATTCATTCATTCTTTCTTTTTTTTTTTTTTTTTTTTAAGAGTTGGGGATTAGGACAGTGTGAAGGTGTTCAGTTTAATCTCAAATGCTACAACAACAAAAACAAAACACAGAAAACAGCTTTGGTGTGGATGTTCTCAATCTTATTGATGCATTTGTATAAATATATCTTACATGATTTTGTTTCTGTGGACAGTATACATATATCTAAATAGTATACACGCTTATACAGTTCCTTCAGAAAACACTGTGTATACTTATAAACAAAAGCAGAATATTTTCCCATTAGTAATCTGTCCACAGGAGAATTGCTTCTATCAGCTGTTTTTTTTTTCTGGCTGCTGTTCGGAAACTTGTCTGCTCCACAGTTTCTGTGGCCATTTTCCTGACCATGAGTGTGCAGTTGTTTCTGGTTTCCATTATAAACAATGCTGCAGTGAACATCTTTGTGTACATTTCTCTGTGTACCCAGGTGATAATTTTCTAGGGTAGATACAGGATTATATCCTGATCTGTTTGTTTGTGATGTAATTTTGCTAATGTCTGTTCCTCATGTTAAAATATAAGCTCCAGGAGGGCAGGAATCCGATTTGTTTTGTGCCTCACTCTTTATTACTTAGCCAAGCTGCTTGGGAGAAAGGAGTGGTCAATACATATTTAGTGAATGAATCAGGGCTTGGGTGGGCTGGGGTCAGGCTTTGTTTTATATCCTGGCATTCTGAAAGTGAACTGTGACTCCTTTTGGTAAAATAAGAGATTTTCCTTCACCCAGGGCAGCAGCAAGATGGTTGTTAGTTGAATCTTGGGGAAAAGTTTTCTGAGCCACCAAGAAGCCTGGCGCTGGACAAAGATCTGAGGTTGTTACAGAGGTCAGACAAGGAGCTCGGGATGGGGCCGGAAGGAACAGGCGTGTTTGAGATGCACAGGAGTGGCAGGGTCTCTACAGCGGCTTACGGGGAGGGAAGGCGCTGGAGGGCAGTGTGTCTGCTGGGCGGTATTTTAATTTTAGAAGCATTTATTGCCTGTTAGCAACATGCACAGAGCACTCTGCTCCTTGCTGTTGAGACATACATTGGGGTGACCTTTCTACTACTTCCAGAGGAGGTTTACAGTCTGTTGGGGAAGAGGGAGGTGGAAGGGACACCTAGAGCTCCAAGGAGTGGCTGACAGGTGGGAGGGGATCCGCCCCAGGGCAAGGAGGGCTGAGCTGGCACAGGGTGGGGAGGGGAGGAGGGAGGGGGGAGGAGAAGAAGAGGGGGAGGAGAGGAAGGGAGGGGAGGGAAGGAGAGGGGAGGGGAGGGGAGGGGAGGAGGGGGGAGGGAGGTTTTAAACAGCCTAGAGCTGCTGTGCTGCGCTGTCTGGGAAGCAGGGTGGCCAGAAGTCGCCGTCAGGGTAATGGTTAGGACTGAGGGCATTAGGTTGGCCATGCAGCTGGGGTTCCCATGGCTCCCTGGCTTCAGCACCGTCTGAAGGTAGGAGAGAAGGTATCAGGTGTGTAACCTTAGGCAGATTACGTAACCAAGCGAGCCTCAGTTTCCTCTTTTTAAAGAAAAAGGTAATGACTAAAGGGATAAAGATTGAGGGAGCTGGGCGGGCCTGTGGGCGGCTCCTGGGACTCCATCGCCGGCCCCTTGGCACTGGTGGGGACAACAGTGTCAGCTTGCAGTGCAGAGACTTGTGACGTTTGTCAGGCCAAGTCGAACCTCTTGAGGAAGAAACACTTGACGTTCAGTGGTTCTTTCAGTTTTCCTCCCATTTCCTTCCTGGGCCTCCCGGCGCACTTAGGATATAGCCCGGAGCCTTGGCCGGCCACAGGGCCTGCCAGCCACGCTGTCAGGCTGTCTGCATGGATATATGTCCTTTGCCGTGCTAGGGATTGAACCCGGAGCCTTTTTTTTTTTTAAATTTTATTTAAGGAGAAAAAGAAAACAAAGGAGAGAAAGGGTACAAGTTATACAGATTTACAGAAAAAAATAAACACTAGTTTATTTACAGAAAAAAATAAACACTAGGAAATCACTAGTTAATGGATTACATTTTGTCATCTTAGAAATAATTGTTCAAGTTACAAAATTAAAGCTTATAAAGTGGACATTGCAACAGTGAGACTGCAAACAGTTCTGTTCAGTGATCCAACAAAACTCAGTAATATCATTATCTATCTTATACACTTAAATATACATGCAGCTATATCGTTTAGAGCACTTTCTTTTCCTCTCTTTTGTACAATGACAATTACACATTTTGGGTTTTGTTGCTCCCACAGTTCTTATTACTTTTTTGGAAGAGAGTAGAACCAAATGTGACATAACAGAACAGTCAGTCAAATCAAAAGGAACCCGGAGCCTTTGAGCTGCATCTCTGTCCTATTTTTTTTTTTTTTTTTTGTCTTTTTGAGGCAACTATGCCTCAAAACTATGCAGTGCAGGCTGGTCTTGTAGCCCAGGCTGGTCTCAAACTCCCAATGATCCTCCTGTCTCAACCTCCCTAGTGCTAGGATTATAGGCGTGTACCATTACACCTGGATCAGATTTTAAGGAGGGCTGGGATATCTGGGATATCTCTGAATTCAGAAAGATCCGGAAAGATCCGTGCGGCTGCTCAGAGCTGCAGTGGTGTGCATTCTTCTGGAAGGTATCTCTTTGGCACCGCGACCTTGAAGTTGGAGCCAGCGGTTAGAGGTACATTTGGAGTGTGGGAAATACTATACAAGTAAGGAGCTTCCTGTTAAGAAATGGCAGCAGTATTGAAATGGAATGAACTAGTTGCGGGGGTCCAGTCGGGGACTGAGGGCGTCGGAGGGCACCATAACCACCTCCAAGGCGGCCCCGTCTGAGTGCCCTAGGTGTTGGTGGGAGGGTTGGCCATCCGATGCCCTTCCACAGCTAAGGTCAAATTCCCATCCCTGGCATGACCCTGACCGAGGCCTGCCCTGCTTCTGCGCTGCTGGCTCTGGTCCTCTCCAGGTCTCTTCTGCTCTCTCCTCAGCAGAACGGGCTGCTCCTCCTCGCCTTGGTCTGCTCCACTGTCTGCTCTCTCTGCAGGGGCCCCCTTGTAAAAGAGGAGCATCTTCCTCTCTCCAGTCCCTTGGGCCCCTGGGTGCATGTGTGTGTTTCCTGTGTCCTAGAAGATCAGTGCCAGAGGGAAAAGGCCTCATTTGTTTGGCTTATTGCTCAATCTCCCATGCCTACACCAGTGCGAGCCCTTAAAAAACCTCAGCTTTATAAGCTTTACAGTGTTAATCCTCTTTTTTTTTTTTGGTCTTTTGAGAGAGTCTCACCATGGTATGTAGACTGGCCTTTGAATTCAGTGATCCTCCTGCCTCTGCCTTCCAAGTGCCTGGATCATGGGTGTGTACTACCACGCCCAGCTCCAGTCAATTCTCTAGTTAGAGTCTTGTAGAAATAGGAATATTTATATAAGTCTTGTAGAAATAGGAATATTTATATAATTGTATTATACCTTTGCCACATTCATAACCCGTTTCTTATTTTTTTTTTTTGTTTTGGTACTGGGGATCGAACTCATGACCTTGTACCCGCTAGGCAGGCGCTTATGCCACTGAGCTAAATCCCCAGTCCCAAACCCTTTTTTATTTAAAAAAAATTGTGTGTGTGTCCCCTACTGTTCTGGAACTCAAAGTGACCCTCCTGCCTCAGCTTGAATGCTGGGATTACGGGCATGCCCTGCCATGCCTGGCCATAACTCCCTTTTTTGATAGATAAGGAAATGAAAACCTGAGGGATTAAATAATATTCTAGGGTCATTACTTTCTCAAGAGGTGGAACCAGAGAGAAGGTATTCTTAGCCAGGCCACCATGCCGGAGAGTGAGGGAGACAGCAGGGACGGAGGCTGATTTCCCGGACAGAAGGAAGGGTGCCAGGGAGAGCCAGTAGGGTTTGCAGGCTCTAGCTGGGGCCTGGGGGAGCTGAAGCACAGGGTGCCACCGAGGGCTTAGCAAGACAGAGCTGTGGGGGCTGGAGCCACAGGCCCTGGGAGGGGTGAGCAAGTCGTGGAGCGGGCTTTTCTCACCAAGGTGGAAGGAAGCGTTGACCTGAGTCCGAGGTGCGCCATGGGGGAGAAGGTCCTCCTGGCGCTGACCTGGAGTGGGGATCAAGGGGAGACCGAACACTGCTACTTGTCTGGGGAGAACTGGCGGTGTGTCCCAGACAAGCCTGGTGGGAAAGCCAGGGAGAGGGGTCGTAGGGTTTGGTACCACGAGCCGGGGCATCAAATGCCAGCGTTTGCCCTCAAGGCTTTGGTATGAGTATGAAATGGGACAGAAGATAGCACCATTTCTTGGGGTGATGGTGGCAGTGGGATTTCAGGAAGGTCCTTGGTTTCCTCTTCCCTGCTTCCCACGACTTATCCCAGTGCTCCCCGTGGAAGACCCGAGGAGTGTGGGAGTCCTGTGCACCGGGCATGTGCAGCCAGGATTTGAACCCCGAGCCTGGGTGCTCCAGACACCTGCTTCCCCACCCTGCCCGAGGTTACCTTTAAGGAAGATTCTGAAGTAAGTCAACTTTGTTAAGCTATCCTGGGGCAATAGAGGGAGACCCAAGTTGTGCGCCCAGGAGTAAGCAGACTTGCCAAAGGGACAAATAGAGTTAAAATCAAACAAGTGTCTTTCTTTTTCTTAGTTTATCAAGGTTGGTTTATTCAATAAAGTCCGGATTAGATCTAAACCTGTTTAAATTGAGCTTTATGATTGGCCCCTCCCTTTTTTGGTTTGCTTGTAAAACCCAGCAATCAAATCTCCTCCGCCACTGTTCCCAGCCAGGTGGGCCAGCGGGCGGTAGGGTTTCCGGGTCCCAGGCGCGGCCTTCCCCGCTGAAAGGTAAGTCGTGCTGTTTTTACCGTGTATTAGCATAGTATCTCCCAGGAGCGGAACGCTGCGATGGCTGGGGATGCAGAGCTCAGCCGGAAGGAAGAAGCCTGTTCCTTGGGGTTGTTTGCTCTGCCTGCTTCATTTAGTGCACTCAGTGTGTGGAAGGGCCGCCCTCCTCCTTCTCAGATGTCTTTTTGTAGTTTGCAGACTGGCAGGTCTGCCTGACTTTCTCATTTTCTTTTCCTGCTGACGCCTCTCTGCCGTTTTCCTGCTCTTAAGCACTGAATTCTTTTACCTCAAGTATCTCTACTGGCTGTGTTTCAGCTCAGGCGATTTAGTTTCCAAATTGTTTTTATATAATAGTTCCACAGTGAAATAAGTAAATACTTGGGAAAGGAGATCATACCACATTCTGTTCTTCTAATTAAGGCTAAGTCTCCAAAGATGATTCCAATACATATTTAAATACAGCGAATCCAAAGAGGTTGTTTTCTTTCTTTTTTTTTGCTATTTGATCTGAGAATGGTGGGATGGGCAGGCCCTGGGTAGGAAATCGGATGTTAGCTGAAGAGGTCTGGTATAGTGCTAAGCAGAGATAGTGTGATTTTCATAGGTGTGCACTGGGAAATACTTATTAAGGAAGGCCTTTTCGGCAGTTGTGAAAAGTGAGGTGGAGCTGCTGTTGATGGCGCGGGAGGAGGTGGGTGGAGCTGCCTCCCGGTGCGGTGCAGAGCCCGGGCTCACCCTGGAGGGACGCTGCTGCGGCTGTCCTCCCTTTGTTTTTGAGGCTGGCGTCTGGAGCACCTGATTCCTTTAGACATCTCGGGCCAGGGAGCCCGCGGAGCCAGGCGTACGTGTGGGCGGAGCCAGGGCTGGACTAACGTTCGATTTTTCAGTTTTCACTGGGTGCAAGAATGCGAGTTCTTCTTAGCTCTTCTTTCGAAACCAAATGTTCCTCGGTGTTCTCCTGTTACTTTTGGAATTTCCATTTTTAATCGCCCCCTCTCCCCATGCTTTCCAAATCAATCCGAGGCAGGAGGCTGCACATTCGAGGGGAAGAATGCCTCTCGCAGAAGCCCTCGCGGCGAATTCAGATCCCTCCTCGTCCTTTTGAAAACACAAAATGTATTTGCAACCAAGCAGTCAGTCACGGGCAGAATTCTGCAGCGATTTCCCAGCCTGCTGGCACGTCTCCAGGAGTTAAGGTTCTTTGTAAATACTCGCTCAAACGTCACACAAAACTCCGCAGAGAGATCGGCTAACGAAATTCTCTTTTCAATTTTAAAACCTACAACATTTAAACAAACAACCCATCCACAACATGATAAGTTTTTTTTGGAGGGGGCAGGGAGAGGAGAAGCGATAACAACCATATGATGTGATGCTTAACAAAGTGGTGCCTTTCAGAGCGCGGTAAAAAAAAAAAAGTACAAGCTTTTCAATATCCTGCCCCCCCCCCAATAATTTAGTAGCAACAGAGTAGGAGCCAGGAGCCTCATTGTTCTTAGTGAGATAATTATTTGTCAGAATATTTGTTTCCTTACCCCTAACTGAAAAGTTTGGACTTTCCTTTTTTGCTCCATTTTGACACTAGATTCTTTTTTAAAACTATCAGCCTTATTGTGTTTACAGCATTGGAGGTTTCAGAGTTCAAAGGTTATCTATTAACATGTAGAGGGAGGCCACACTTACGGTAAGGAGCGATCTGGTCCCACTGGCTCATGATTTCTTTGTTTTGTAGTAAGGCTTGAGAGGCGTTTGTTTTGATAAAGTTAAATGAAGTTTCTTGCTCTAGAAGAGTGCGTTTTTGGAACTGTTTTGGAGTGTGACTGTAAGTCATTATCAGCTATTTTAAAAGAAGATGCCTTTTGTTAGAAAAGGAATCCCAGGACTAAAAGTGATCAATATCCATGTACTTGAGTGAAAAAAAAAAAAAATAGTGCTGGCCTAGGGATCTACTTCTGGCACTGCTAATTAATTGTGAGTAATTGATTCACTTCCTTTTTAAAAAAGGCTAACCAGACCATATGTGGAGTTAGTAGTTATATATAAAATGACAGCGTAACGTCACGCCAGGCAAATTCTTCCCCTTTGCTAAGCCGTCTTCTCAAATTCCTTTTCCTATTAAATATAAGGATTGCATTGCTCACCAGTTCTGGATCTTTTTTTTTTTTTTAAAATAGGGCTATTTTTTGCTTTTCTTTTGACTGAGGAATATATTTTAAATACTTTTCTTGACATACCTCTAAGCTTTCCCATTTTGGGGCCACTAAGGCTAGTTTAGGGAACAAAACAACTTGGCTATTTTGTTTGTGGCTACTTCCATGGATCCATTTCACATTTGCATTCATTTGCATTTGGGAGCAGAAAAATTGGTGGATGTGATTGTTTTCATCCGTGGTTCCTCCTTGGGGTTTACTTAAAGTACTGGAACGGGAGTAAGAGGTCTTTGGGATAGGAACCTTTTCCTGCTTTTCTTTCAACCTTTCTGCTGGTGAACAAGGAAGAAAACAGTTGGGAAACACTTTGTATCAGTTGGGCGTAGAAAGGAGGGGGAAAGGCTTGCTTTTTTGTTTTGTTTTCTAACCCCACTGTAAGCCTAGTTTCATCCGCTTAGATTTCTATCAAAACAAAGTAGACTCCTGGAACCTGGAATCCAAATTTAGAAAACTGGACTTATAATAGTGAAACAAACCCAACGCCTTCTGACCAAAAAAAATTTAGCTGTATGAAGATACAGAATTGTAGTCATCCTATCTCATCGGTCTTCCTCATACTTAAAGCCTATCTGAGCAAGTGTTTTTTGTACACAGCTACCTTTTGACTTAAGCTCAAACCAGTAGAAACGTTTTTTGTTTGTAATTCTAGATGACCCAGGAGTTCGGCTGCCAGCCCCTCCCCTCGCCTGGGCGCACCTTGCGAGGGAGGGGGGAGGTGGCGAGGAAGAGGGCTGGGTCTGCGCCTGCGCACTACCCTGCGGCCCACTCCCCTACTACCTGTCACTGAACTGCCGGGGCGCGGGCCCGCCACGTTTGGACGGATGGCGGGAGGCAGGGGGGCGGTGGCAAGGCGCGCGCGTGCGCGGCACTCTGGGTTAGAGTAGGGGGTGCGCGCGCCAGCGTGCGCGCGCCCGTCACAGGGGCGGGGTCCGAGGCGGTGGGCGTGACAGAGGCGCGCCTGCGCAGATCACGTGGGTGAGGAGGCGGGGCTGGGGCGGGGCCGCGCGGCCGGGGGGAGGCGGGAGGCGGGGCGTCTCGGGCGGCGGGGCCGGGGGAGGGCGCAACAGCTGCTCCGAGCACTTTCTGACCCAACAGTCCCCCAGCGCCGGACGCGCCGCGTCGGGCGGCTCTAGGGACCCCCGCGCCTGCACTGTCCCCGCGCGGACGAGTAGGGGGCGCCCGCGCCTTTGCCCCGTGCGCACCCCGCCCCACTCACCTTAGCCCCGCGCCCGAGGTGAGCCCGGCCCCCCAATCCTGCGCGGGGCGGGGGCGGTGGGGGTGGGGAGCGCCTCTTGCCGGGGAGGGTCTTCCCGGTGCTGGGCCCCGGGGCGCCCCAGGATGGCAGCGCCCCTCAGCCCGGGGCGCCCCGCGGCTCCGGGGGGCTGGGTGCGGCGCGGGCTCCCGGAGGTGCCCGCACAAAAGGCCGGGCGAAACTCGCGTCGGCGCCGCTCCGCCCCCCGCCCCTCCCGCGCCTCCCCATTCAAACCTCGCCGGCTCAGCTTGAGGTGTCAGTGCCGCCGGGCGCCGCCGCGCGAGGGATGGCCGAGGAGCCGGCCCAGGTAAAGGGGCGCCCGCCCGCCCTTCCGCCCGCGCCGCCCGCCGGCCGCTTCCGCTCTCGCGGGCGCCCCCTCCCCAGCGCGGGGCGGCCCGCAGCCCCGCTCCGCGTCGCGGCCGGCCGCGGTCCCGGGTCCCTGCGGGGCGCGGGGCCCGGCGGGGGGCTGGGCGCAGGGGGCGCCCCAGAAAAGTTCCCAGCCCGCGGGTTGGTCTCCCGCTCGGCCATCCCAGCCACAGGGGGCCGGGGACGGGCGCGGGGTCCCCGCGGTAGTCCGGGGAGCCCAGCAAGTTGGAAACAGCCCAAACAATGCGTCCTAACAGGCGTCCCCCACAGACAATGGCCGGGCCGTCCCCACGGCCGGGCGGGGGGCGCGTGGCGGGGGCGTGGGCGGGCGAGGCCTCCCCGCCCCGCACCCGGCTCCCCCCGCACCCCGAAATCGTCCCGGGAGCCTCGGGTCGCCTGGCCGCTGGTGAGCCCGAGGCGCACGGGCTGCGTGTCCTGGATGCGGGCGAGAAGGTGGTTTGGCTTCTACATTTTTTTTTTCTAAAGTTTTTTCCCCTCCTAAAAGAATCCCTGCTATTGCCCAGTCAACTGGTAGAGAACGTGTGCACCACTGGGGACCCTGGGGCGGCGGTAGGCGGCACTGGGAACCCGAGCGGGCGGCAGGATGGGGCTGGGAGCCCAAAGTGCTGCTTTCTTTCTTCTTTTAAAGGGAAGTTTGCCGGGAGGCGCCGGGCGCCGAGACCGCTGTTTCGGGGCGCTCTTCCCGGATCTGTCCCAGTCCCAGCCCTCGGGTGGATGTGTGTGTGTGGGGGCTGCCTTCATGGTCCATCTGCCTCGGGGTGCAGCCGGCCCCGGGGCTCGGGCACCCACAGTTTAGGATTTGGGGCTGGGCCGGCGAGGACGGAAGCCACATTCTTGGGCGGGTGGGGTGGGTGGGGGTGGGGAGAGCAGGCGAGGAGTTTTCCGCAAGGTTTGGCTCCGAGAATAAAAAAGCACAAGCCACCGAGCCCCCCGTGGCCCCTTCCCGGACCCTAGTGGCCGATCCACCGTGGAGCAGCAGAAACTTTTCCCCCACTTGGTGTCCCCTCCCCCACCCCCCAGAGTGCTGAGGTCCTTGCGAGGCTCCGGGTATGAAGTGTGTTGCTCCACCTTGAGATTCCCGGAGCAGCCTCGGTTTATCCTTCTGATCAGCCTACGGGCCGAGGCCCGGCGCATTCCTCAACATGTATTGGATAGGTGGCGGTCGCAGTGGTCCCCGGGCCCCTGGCGTGGTGTGCTGCCGGCCTGGAGCCGGCTCCTGGTCTCTGGGATGGGTTGGAACCATTAGCTGTGTGTTTTAAAAGGGCTTGGTCTGATTCGGTTCAGGTTGATTCAATTATGTCTTCATCGCTTTTGAGTTGGTTGAATGACTTGACACGAGATTAAGGCCCACAAAAGAAGAGGCAGGGTAACAACAGCTGCCGTCCAGGCCTGGGACTAGGTGGTGGGGGTCTTCGGGGGCCCCCAGCCACCTTCCCTTTGTATGTGTCGGGAAGTCCTGGCCCGGTGCTCCTCCCCGCACTCCCTCCCCCGAAGTGGATTGAGTGCCTTCATGGAAGGCAGCTGAGACCGAAAATTCCAGATTTTATACCACTTTGAAGGATGAGTAATCGGTCTAGAGTTTCTAAAAAAGCCTTTCGTGGAGTGACAATTGCAGAGGAAGAACCCATCGCTTTTTGTCTGAAAAATCTAACAGTCAAGCCACTAGTTGGTGCTTGTTCAGTTAATGTGTGCTAAGGACTGCGAAGGTGTGTCCTTCATGGGAGATGGCTCCTTTCCTTCTGAGAAGTCACCGTGTTTATTCTAGATACTGTTTTGTTCAGTGTTCTGGAGACCGGGGGTGTTTTGGGGGAGGTGGTGGTGGTTTTCTAATCCTGATGTTTTAGAGGAAGTCTCCCCCCCCCCCCAAAGCTGCCAGTGTTAATCTGTTATGTAAGTATTACCTTTGAGAGGCAGTGACTTGGATTAAAAATTCAGTTGTCAATAGTTACAAGACAGGTTTCTAATGTATTTGGATAGCTGGGATAGTGTTAATAATCGGGTGGGTAGGAATTGTACTGGTTTTGGTGTGTAAGGAGGAAGACTAGTCCTTGAGAATTGTACATTTATTTGCATACGGGAGGAGGAAGTGAGAAGGGAAGAGTATAACTTGGTGGGGAAGGACAAAGACTTCTTTGGTGTCCGGCCTCTTTTACACGCCTTTAATCTCCGCAACACCTTCTACCACTTCGCAGTTTGAACTTTGTTGTCTTTTAATTACTTGGGAGATGGAAGTGGAGCAGTTGTCTGGGGTTCATATTATTCCCTTTCACTTCGTACTTTAAAAAAGGAACTAAGATACCACTTAGAAAAATTAGAATAATTTCCCCCTTTACCCTGAAGAAGCTGTTTTGATAGTAGCTCATTTTCTTTCTTTCTTTCTGTTTTCCAGGTGGTTAGGGACTGGAGGTTTCTGCCTGCAAGGTGGGGTAGCTTGGCTCTTTGTAATCCTCCATTTTTGGCAGGGAGGCTTGAGGGCAGCGTAGGAGCCCCTAAGCCCTTTCCAGTGGGCTCCTTTTAGAGGAAATCTGAAAATAAGACTTCATCATCCAGCCCTTACAAGCCGACGAGATGGCTCAGGAGTACAATGGCTGGCTCTGACTCAGTCTGTCTTCTGCTGCAGATAAATGCTAATGGCTTTTTCCTCCTTTGCCACCCTTTATTATGAAACGGTGTGCTTTACCACAGCAGGGCTCACCCCCTCCCAACACTCTTAATTTGGAGATGCCTGATTAGAGCTTCAGGGGTCCCGAAGATGTGCTCGCCGTTTTTCCACTTTATCACACATCACGTTCCTCGCTCACAGTTGTCTCAAACATGATCCGGGCTGATAAGAACTTTGAGTAGTCTTTAATGACCCTTGACTGCGTTAAAACATAGTACTTTAAACAGGAGCTTTTGTCTGACTCTACTTATAAATCATACAAGTTCTTAAATGTTTTCTGTGAAGCTGTGTTTCCATTTGCTCAAAAAAAAATCAGTTTTGATGTTCCTTCTCAGGTGTGCTGGTGAAACCTAGTGAGTGTGGATTTTGAGGGGAAAGAGGCTCATTTCGGGTTTCCTGTATCAGTTTAATCCTGTAGCAGTGTGTCTAAATGAATGATTTGGAAAGGTGAAGTACTTAGCAGTGGCTGTGGGTTTTCAAGTTTTAGAGGTGTAAGTGACCCTAAAAAAAGGAGGTAGTTGTATAAATTGGTGAGTATTCCGGTACGTTAAAATAAACATTATAAGGGTTTAAAATCTATTAAAATTGGAAAATTACTAAGTATTAAAAATCAAAAAGCCCTGGAAAGTACCACAGAACAAATACTAAAACTGAATAGAAAGACTGCCACGGAATTCTCTGAGCCGCAAAGGCCTGCGTTCCAGCAGGTGGTCAGTCAGAGTGGTGAGACTAACCAGACTTTGTCTGCACCATTCATGGCCAGATTTTGGCCAGAGAGGTGTTAACTAGCCCAAGTGCATGTGGCAGAGAGTGTCATTACACAAAGACGGCAGGAAGTGTCTTAAATTTGGGTGAGGGGAGCCTGATGACTGAAGGTGGCCTCATTTGGGGGGGACAAAACCTTTGCTGAAGTTCTGCTGACATCTCCTCTGCTGATCTTGGGGTGAGTGTCCCCCAGCTGGTAATGGAGTGGGACAAATTGGCAGTGTGGTATGTGGGCCAAAGGGCTTTGAGTGTCGACCACGAGGGCAGATAGAAATCTGTCTTTAAGGAAGTGGAAGGAGGAGGACCATTCTTTCCTGAAATCTGCTTCTCATGATGAGCAAGCTCAATTCTTGTACACATCTGTCTTCCAAATAAATTAGGGGGAAGCCCCTGGGAGCCAGCTGCCACCAGATCAGCCTTTATATTTAACGGTGGACACTCTTTTAAAGGACTTTACATTTGTTGACCGACTGTTTGAAACGGCCCCATTACTTCCTGCTCAGGGTATCAACATAACAGAGTTACTGGAAATTTGGGGCTGGTTTGGTAATTTTATGATAAAATTGAGAAATAAAATTACTAAACCTGAAAAGACAGCTGAGTAAGTTGTGTGGGACAAGATGCCCTTAGCCTTTGTTCTTAAACTTTTCCAGGATTTGAGCCACACTCTGCTGAAGTCCAGGCTAGTTTTAAGATAGGGGTTTGCATAGAATGCTTGTTCTGGAGTTCATTTCTAGTCCCAGAGCTTTTCACATTTAAGACGGACTTAAATGGACTGGAAATGTAGTAGGCTCCAGATAGATTTTATTCTTGAATCAGTATTAGAAGAAAACCTTTTTCTTGTTTCATCTTTCCTACAAACTGTATCAAATCAGGATAAGCTAAAAAAAATTGAGTCATACCAGACTTCTTAAGTGTAACACATTCCTGTCTTGAATAGTGATGGAACTATTAGGTGAAAGTAGGTTTTTTTTCCCTTAATTTAGAAAGTAAGCAGGACTTGAAAGAGCCAGACATGATAATTTTAGTACCCAACAGGAGATGTAGAGAGAGGAGCATTTAAAGGTTAAAGAAAGGTCTCGGGCCTCAAAGCAGGGCGTAAGCTTGTGTTTACTGTGAAGCGAGTTGAAGTGGGTCTGATTGGACACTCAGCTTTTGGTCTTCTGGGGAGATGGTGTAATGTGTAGTGTGTGGTGATCAGCGGGTCCACGCGGTGTGGCTGGTGTGGCTGGCACAGGTAAAACACATGCTCAGGTTTTTTTTTTTTTTTTTTTTTTTTTTTAGAATGAAAGAATACAGGTGAAGATAGGCTAGCTTATTTTTAATTTGCTGAAATCTTTTTTTTCCCCTCCTCTCCTTGGGAGATTAACCAGTCCTGTCGTCCTTTAAAAATCCTTTAAACTTCTATTAATAAAGAAGAATTAATAGAAGCTTACTGGTCGTGATGCCTAATCTTAAGAATTTACAGCTCTCATTTTTCAGATCAAGATGGTGTTTTTGAAGGCCACTTTGTGGATAGTATCTGTTAGTATTGATAATATTGAAACTAAAACTAGTATCTGATACTTGAAGTTTCCATTGAGATCCTTCAAAGACCTTTAACTGCTTTAGGATGAATGAGGCAGTTTCTTTCTTCCTGTTCTTTTTTTTTTTTTTTTTTTTTGCAGTTTCTAATTGTGCTCCAATGGTTTATATCACTATGCGCTCTCATCCTGTTTAGAACTGAACATTGATCTGTAATTTTGAGAAAATGGGATTATTTCCTGTGGGATCTATCCCAAGTTTTGCCTTTAAACAGAGGGATGGTTTGGGTGGTAATGATGAATTTTAAATGACTGCTCTAGTCTTCCACAGCTATCTTAGGAAAATTGGGTTGATGGTTTAGCTTTTGGTTGTGACTTGGTGATTGCCTTGAAATCATTTTTGAAAGAAGTGATTGCTACCATGGACTACGGGTGTAGAGTTTTCTCCATTTGTAGGGTTAAGAATAAGTAGTGTGTGTAACCTACAGAGGAAAAAGAAAAATACTTCCAAGTTCCCTAACCAGAACTTGGAGATACTTTGATAGTTTTAAGGAAATAAATGAATTGACCAGGGAGTAGCAGTTTATGGTGACTATTTCAATAACTACTTAATTGGACACTTCAGTTGGGGAAAAAGTAAGTTTGTGGGAATAGGTCAAATTACTTTTATATTAGAATTTCTGCTTTTTTTTTTGACAAGTTTTCTGGGAACTTGGTACGCCCGTCCCCACAGTGGTAGAGAAGTGCTCCCAGGAGAGAGGTGAGGGGACCTGTGGAGGTGAAACGGAGGGGGTGCCTAGGGTGCTGCTTCTGAAAATAGTGTTTTTTCCAAGTGTCAGTTACCCTTCATTTGTTTTATGTAGTGCAAATTGTGCTTTTTATTAAGCAATGCATAATGTGTAATATTTGCTAATTTTAAGATCTATAGGTAGTGGTAGCCTTCAGTTTAGTCATAAATCTAATTAGTGGTTTAAAAGAATATCTGACATTTCAGGCAATTACAGCAATTTGGCCCTTACTGATTGATCTCTGGGGTGATGTGGTGTTGTTTTAAACGGGTGACTGCTTAAGTAACACCAGCACACAGGGAAGCCCCCCAGGCTTGCAGCCATGAGGCGGTGGTGGGTGTTTTAGACACCTTGAGTGCTGAGGTGGATGGAGATGAAGGGCCCTGCCAGTCACCTGAGCAGAGATCTGAAAATGTTTGTAAGCATCAACAAGGATTTCTGCAGAGCATCTGTTTCCAGTCACCCCTGAGCAGTCAGGTCAGGTCTCACCTTTCTGCGGACTCTTTGTTGGCTCCCCAAGTTGGGTGATCGCGTCCTCCCCCTGCTCTCTGTGGAGGAGGACAGTTCTCTCTCAGCAGGGCCATGGAGGCCAGCGCTGCCCCCTCCTCTGGTTGTCAGATAGGAATTTAGAATTTCTGTGGGGGTGAGTTCTGGGAGGAATTCAGTCTTTATGAGGGCAGCCACTCTAAAGGGTTCTGTTTAAAGGAAGGTAAACGGGGGTTCCAAGTGCTGTAGCCCTAGTTGAGCCAGTCCTGTCTTTGGGAGCCCAAGGAAGACTTGGGCTGTTCAGGTCTTTTGGGGGTGGTCTGCAGTGCACCCCCTTGCTCCTTTTGGTGGGGGGTGGTCACAGAGGGAGGGCGTGGCCCCCTGAAGCCCTTTGGATTTCTTGGTGCTCAGGGTAGAGTCCAGGCTGTCACCCGGACAGCAGGGGGCGCCCCAGCCCCGCAAGGACGCAGGTTTTGTTCATGCTGGTGAACTAACTTGTCACTGTGATGCCTGTTACAGTGGTGAGGTTGCAGTGTGCGGTGAGATGCAGCCACAGCCATCTAGAAGTTTCCATGAGCATTCCTGTTTTAGTATCAGATCAGATATGATTGGTTACTGTGGCCAAAGATGTTTACCCACCTTTCTCCCTGTGCCAGTTTTTATTTATCAGGTGTTTTTCCAGGATTATTTATTTGTTGGTTGTTTTGGGGTGTTTTTCTTTTCTTTTTGGCGACAAGATCTCACTCTGTTAGGGGTATTAATGATTTGAGGCCCTTTGTGCTTTTAAAAAAAAAATGAGTTAGTGGTGATGATATCCAGTAAGTTGTTTTAACACCCAAGTCCAGTGGCCTTAAGCTCATTCTGTAGCCCAGGCTGGCCTGGAACTCTTGTGACCCTCCTGCCTCAGCCTCCCTGCTTGGGAGTACAGGCACGCGCTAACAGGATGATTGTAGATACCCAGGAAAGTTTGTAGAGGAAGTAAGTTGACCCTGAGCTGTGGTAAAAAGGGACAGGACAGAGGTGGTGCTGGGCCAAGGTCAGGGAACAAGCTTTGGAGTGAGTCCTAAACTTTGCTCTGGCTCAAGGCCACCCTGTGGTGGCGCATTGCTCTTAGGGTTAGCTACCCTCTGGAGACTGAGGCAGGAGGATCTTAAGTTGGAGGGCAGCTTGGGGTTCGTAGTGAGCATCTGTCTTGAAAAAACCAAAAAGGGGGAAAGGATTGTCCAGTACTGGGACAGTTTCTGACCACCAGCGCTTGTCCTGGAAGCTCCGGCGGAGGGGGAGGGGCTCAGTGTGTGGGGAGTCTGTCCCTCTGTCCGTCGGTCTCGCATCTCGAGACCATGGGGGTGTGTAGCACCCCCCCCACACACACACACTTTGCACCCGGAAGCTGCTTTCTCCTGAGGTTTGTGGCTCCCTGGGCAGCTGTGGTCCTTCCTTCAGACCTCCAGAGATACGGTCTCGAAGGTCGTGTGTGAGAATGGTGGTGAGCTCTTTCTTTTAGCTCACTGGAAAATTTGCAGAGGTAGAAGTTGGAACCAAACCCTCTTTCTAAGATCAGACAGTTTTTCTGTGATTTAAGTTCTGTTGTGATCTGGAGTGGAGAAAAATAGGGACACCCCCACATTGTATTTCTAATTTTTTTTTTCTCTTTGAAATAAAAGTGGATTTGAAAAGGAACAAAAAATAATTCAGATGCTTGAGTGTAGTGGGTGTCATTTTTGGGAAAGGATTTCTGTCCATGGAAAAGCAAGGTTTCTGGAAAGTTTTACAATTTTTTGTAGTTGTTGTTTTGTTTTTGGTACTGAGAAAGGAAACAAACTCAGGAGCTTGCGTTTGCCAGGCAGGTACTTGTGATGCTAAGCTCAGTTCCCAACCCTGGATTTTTTCTTGCGGTGCTGGGGATTGAACCCAGGGCCTTGCACATGCTGGGCAAGAGCTCTCTTGGTTGCACCTCAGCCCCAGCTAAGTTTCTTTAAAAATTTTTTTTAAAAGTTGAGACTCGATATGGGATGACTTTGATTTTTGCCAAATAAGGATGCCAAAGCATCTGTGTGCCGTGGGCAGTGTGCCGCTGTTTTCGGTGGAAAGGACCTCCCATAGGGATCACCGTGAACACGAGTCCTTGTGGGTGCCTGGAGCTCGCTGACTGCCTCTGATCCTCACCTCGATGCTGGCCAGGAAGCACAGTACTGCCGGGGGGCAGTAACTTCTCTAGAATATGTGCTATGATTCTTAGGTTGAAATATGGCCAGGAGGTTGACACTGAATAAATACTTGTTGAGTGAGTAAAGGGCTGTATCGAGACCTAAATCACTGGTCCCTCGTACACAGATTTAATGTTTTGGTCCACAGAGCCTTGAACACTCTCTGGAGAGTGTAGGTCAGGCCCCAGAGCCAGAGTTTGGGGACTCTTTAAGAGCCGCCTTCCAGGAGGCTGGGGATTTAGCTCAGCGGCATAAGTGCCTGCCTTGCAAGCAGGCAGTCGTGAGTTCGATCCCTGGTACCAATAAAAAGGAAAAAGACAAAAAAAAAAAAAAAAAAAAAAAAAGAGCCGCCTTCCAGTTTCAATCAAGGACTGGAGCCAGAAAGATGAGCTGGGAGGCAGGCGGGGCAGCCTTCAGGCTGTGACAGGGCAGACTGGAACCCAGGTCTCTGGAGTGTTCTGTGACCTCACACGGGCTGCCCGCCCGCCCGCCCCTGTGCAGCCTCACAGAGGAGGCAGAAGTGGAGGGGAAGCTCTGCAGCACTCCTCCACCCTAATCTTTAATCTGCAGTCTTTAGGTAGAAAACTTAATGTTACAACTGCTGCTTATTGAAAACTAAAGATAATAAGGGAGGTGATATTTGCCTCTGGGCATAAGGAAGGGGCGGGACCGAGCAGACAGGCCGGGCTGGGCCAAGGAAGTGGGGAAGGCAGGCGGGTGTGCTGCGGCTTTACATCCATGTGCTGGGAGTGGTGTGTGTGTGTGCGTGAGTGTGTGTGTGTGTGTGTGTGTGTGTGTGTGTTTGTGCGCGCGCGCGCGGCGCGTGTGCTTGTTTTCTTGGCTGGAATTAACTGACTCCAGGGAGGTGGTTGTTTTTTTCTTTCTTTTTTTTTTTTTTGGTGAGACAAGGGCTCACTGTGTAGCCCAGGCCGGTCCTGAGCTGACTGCGATCCTCCTGCCTCTGCCTCCTGAGTGCTGGGACGACAGGCATGCACCGTCATGTCTGGCCGACTCCAGTTTTAACATGGTGGAGACATTGTGAAAAGCTGTCTACTGCCTGCAGTTAGAACGGAAGCTGTTTGCTTTGGAGGCTCATTCTTTTTCTCAGAGTGAAAATAGGCCTCCATGTCAGACCTGCAGAGCTAAATAAAAAAATCATCCCCTTCCCACCTTGCTGAGGCATCACGTGAAAGGTGGATTTAAAAAACGCTCACAGAACCTTTTTCTGATGAAATACTTAGCCATGTTGAAATAGGTGTGTTGAAAATTTTATGATGAATGTGTACATTCACAGAGTAAGTAGCTTTGTGTATGCATTTCCTTATTTGTTGTTCGGACTAGAAAGTCCTACCCAGTGTTTAATGGATGGAAAGTTGTCGCTTTATGAACAGCAGACCAAAATCTGTCAGTGTCCTTGGCCAAAGAGAGGACCATTCCGAGGTGTTTGCGTTTCTTGGAGGCAGATTTTAGGGACGAATCCTAGGTTGTGTGCTTGGTTTTGACTTCTGTGGGTTTCATCTTCCAGTGTCCTTTGGTACCTTGGTTTCTTTGTTAGGTAGGTTTGTTACTAGAAACAATTTTAAGTACTGTGAAGGTTTCACCTGAAGTGGCTTAATTTTTATCATTCCTAATTTCTCACAGCTCTTGGTCTCTGTGGAAGCTGTGTGGATGTGTACATATTTGCATGCATTTTAGAGGTGTTTAAAACAGATTCAGGCTGGGCGTGGTGGCACATGCCTGTAATCCCTGTACGTGGAAGGCTGAGGCAGGAGGATCACTGTGAGTTTGAGACCAGTCTAAGCTACCAAGTGAGCTCAAGGCCAGCCTGAACTGAATAGTGAAATCCTGTTTAAAAAAGACACACATACACCCATGCACACCACAGAGAACACAAACATGGATTCAGCTGAATTTAGCAGTTTTTGTCTTAAAACTGACCTTTCAAGTACGTAAAGCACCACGAGGTCTTCCAAGTTGTACTCATTTAATAAAGTGTCCTGACGGGTGGGGTGGGAGAGTGGGAATGCTAATGAATTCATTAACAAAACACACATTCAGCAGGTCGCATTATGAATTAAAGGCAGCTGAGTTAGGCACAGGGGTCACTGTGTGGAAAAGACCACCCGAATCACCCACACTGGCTGCGCGCCCCGAGTGCATGTAACTCACTCACTCACCCTGTGTGTGCTCTCCCCTCAGGTTTCGGGAGTCCCTCGTCTCCACGCTGCTGGAACTGGCTTCCTGTGCAGCTGAGCCACGCACTCCACGGGGATGGGGAGAGTGGAGGCTTCGTGCTGATCTTCCTGGAACCTCGGCATCTGGCAGCCCGTGCGCCTGTCTGTGGGAAGCCCCAGTGCCATGTCCCATCACTGAGCTGCCTAGAAACTTCCGAAGATAAGAAGTTACAGGGGGTGCACACTTTCTTTTGAACTTCATAGTTAGATTTTGCCCTGGTGTTTGGAAGCCCAGGGCTGCTGGAGGTGTGGGTGACGCGTCTTACAAGTGGCCTTATTCCCAAGCAGCGATTCGCCAGCAGATCTTGTAGCCTTACTGTGTGTCCAGCCCCCGAGCGGAAGGAAAGATGCCAACTCAGTCCCTGCTCGTGTACATGGACGGGCCGGAGGTGATGGGCGGGTCCCTGGGCACCCAGATAGAAGTGGATGACGCCCTGTCCCTCAAAGGCGCCAGCGCCGTCCCTTTCAGAGCTTCTCAGGAGAAGAGCATCGTCCACCTCGAAGGGTGCATGCCCCTGGATTGCATGTTTTGCAGCCAGACCTTCACCCTGGCGGAAGACCTCAACAAACACGTCCTCATGCAGCACCGGCCCACCCTGTGCGAGCCCGCGGTGCTGCGGGTGGAAGCGGAGTATCTCAGCCCCCTGGATAAAAGTCAGGTGCTAACAGAACCTGCCAAGGACAAGAGCTGCAAGGACAGCGAGGAGCTGAGCTGTGAGGTGTGCGGGCAGACGTTCAGGGTGGCTTTCGACGTGGAGATGCACATGAAGAAACACAAAGACTCCTTCACCTACGGGTGCAGCCTGTGCGGGCGGAGGTTCAAGGAGCCCTGGTTCCTTAAGAATCACATGCGGACGCACAGCGGCAAGTCGGGCACCAAGAACAAACTGCTCCAGGGCCTCGAGGGCCCCGTCACCATCAACGAGGTGGTCCAGGCGCACTCGCCCGGCAGCGTCTCGTCTCCTTACAAGATCTGCATGGTGTGCGGCTTCCTGTTTCCCAGCAAGGAGAGTCTGCTGGAGCACAGCAAGGTGCACACCAAAGAGCCCGCTTCCGGTGGCGACGGCGGCGGCGGCGGGCTGCAGAGTGAGCCCGGGCCCCAGGGAAGCCCGGCCCCCCCGGAGGAGCTGCTGCAGTTCTTAAACCTGCGACCTCGGGCCCGCGGCGCGGAGAGCGGGAGGAAGGCCGGCGGGTGCATCCCTCAGCTGGACCCCTTCACCACCTACCAGGCGTGGCAGCTGGCCACCAAGGGCAAAGTGGCCGTGGCCCAGGAGGAAGTCAAGGAGTCGGGCCAGGAAGGGAGCACGGACAACGACGACTCGGGCTCCGAGAAGGAGGAGCTGGGAGAGATCTGGAGCAAAGCGGAAGGCTCGGGGAAGTCCAGGCCCAGTAAGAGCGGCTCCGCAGGCCTCTCGCAAGACAAGGAGAAGCCCCGACACGCGAGCGGTGAAGCGCCCTCGGGGGACACGGACGCCAAGGCGCCCGGCAGCAAGGAGAAGCCCACGCACTGCGCCGAGTGTGGCAAGGCCTTCCGGACCTACCACCAGCTCGTGCTGCACTCGCGCGTGCACAAGAAGGAGCGGCGCACTGGGGCCGAGTCGCCCACCGTCGCCGTGGACGGCCGGCAGCCGGGCACCTGCTCCCCTGAGCTGGCCTCGACGCCCGACGACGGTGCAGCTGCAGAGCGCGACGCCGGTGGCTCGGAGGACAGCTCTGAGGACGGGCTCCCCGAGGGGCTCCACGCAGGTGAGTGGCCTCCTGCGTCCCGGTGGGGCGGCCGGCACAGTGCCGCTCTGCACTGCCACTGTCACCACCTAGATCCGGTCTCAGGCCCACTGGGTTTCGCAGCAGTGGTTGTGTCAATGTGGCGTGTGTGTTGATTGACACCCACTGAGGGGAGGCCAGGCCACAGGGTGCTGCCAGCCGGCCCGTGGGGTACGGGCAGTCCCAGGTTCCAGGAATCATGTGGCCCAGAACAGTGAAGATGCAGAGACAGATGCTGGCCTTCACTGTCTTTTCCTGACATCTCATTCAGTTTATAAAACCAGTGCCATCTCTCCAGGCTGTCTTCTTTATCTGCTGCTGGAGATTGAAGCCAGGGCCTCACATGTGGTGGTCAGTGCTCTACCGTTGAGCTGTATCCCTGGCCCTTATTTTATTTTGAGATGGTCTCACAAAGCTACCCACGTTGTCCTTGGACTTTTAGGCCTCTGCCTTACAGGCATGAGCCACTGCTTGGCTCCAGCCCACTTCTCGTACATTCACTAAGTGGGTGTTTATTTTTTTAATATTTGTCATATAGGGGATTAGACCCAAGGCCTTTGCAGTAAGCTGCCTCCTCAGCAAGCCCCTTGCGCTGATTATGATGATGATCATTATTATTTTGACTTTGAGCTGGGTTCTTGCTGAATTTTTCAGCTCACGTGCAAATTTGTGACCCTCTTGCCTCAGCCTCCTAGAGTGCTGGAATTATAGCCAGGTGCTACTGGGCTTGCTGGGAAGGATGCCGACAGGAGCCCGGTAATCCTGCTAGGGGCTTGTTTGGTGTGTTGGGATGCCCCATCCATCCTGTGCCTATCTGGAGGTGTCCTTGTCATTAACAAGGACCTCCGAAGTGGTTTGTTTGTGAGATACGGGGAATATGAGCATGCCAAAGACCAACTCACTCGCTCAGGAAGCTTTGCAGTGCGTTAATGGCATTTCTAGACCCCGAAGATAGCACTAATAGCCCAGTGAGAGGCTGGCATCTTGTTTCTCAGCGGGGAAGGGAATTATCTACATTAGTCCTCCATCTGTTCTAGTCCTGCGGCCCCTCCTCGCAGGCACCAGAGTGCGTCATTTCATATTTAAATATTGGTTTGAATAAAAGATTCTGCTGCCTGTGAACAGTGTGTGAAGTCCTGGTGTGGACAGGACCTGGTGGCACACTCCCATAAGCACTGGGGAGGCCGAGGCAGCAGGATGACCGAGTCCAGGGCCAGCCTGGACTGCAGGGTGAGACTCTGCAAAAATCAGAAACAACAACAAACCCAGACACACGCTCCCGCCCCCATAACAAAATCCTGGTGTGCGGGGCAGGTGCCGTACATGGATGAGGAGGACACGGAGAGGGCTCAGGAGCATCATGGAGAGGAGAGGACTCTGCCGCCTCATCCTGTAACGCGCTGCGCCTGGAGTCCTGTGAGAACTCTGGCGGTGGCTCCTGCGCTTAGGGTGGTGACCTGGTGCTTCCCCGTCATGGCATCACCTTGAGTGCCATAGTCAAGTCAAATATTTCCCATGTGGAGCCTCTGTGCCCTTGGAGCCTGTCCCTCAGCGTATCTGGACACCTTCAATGTCACACAAGGGCCGGGGCTCTAGCTCCGGGACAGAGCGCTTCCTAGTGTTGCAAGGTTCTGGGTTCAATGGCTAGCGCTAGGGAGAAAATAGGGCATCATGCCAAGGTCTTCAGCGTGGGCCCCCAGCGGACTGAGTGAGTCCTCAGAGTGAGCGCCGGGACTGCAGGTGCCCGGGGAACGGCTGGTGGTCAGTAGGTGGCCTGGAGAGCCTGGGCTGCCCACCAAGGGCAGCGGCCATCCCGCTGGGGGCACAGGCGCCCTGGGTGGTTCTGGTTCTTCCGCTGACTGCATTGTTTCGGGGCTAGATTGTGTGTTGCTCAACTTTTCTTTGTCCCAGTTTTCCCATTTGCAAAACTGGCTCCTCTGACCATTTCCACTTTCCAAGGACAATTTCAGTGACCTGTTTGTAAAAAGTTAGCGCTCTCAAAAACAACACTGTAAAATCAAAAGTGGGGCCAGAAGGCGGGGGCCAGGTACCTGCGGGAGGCTTGAGCTCTTTGTTTTAAGACAGGCATTTCTCGACTTTATGGAGCAGCGTAGCATCAGGCAGCATCGGGCGGACCCAGCGTTAGGAACAGGAAACTCATCAGGGCCAGATCCAGCTTTAAACAGCTGGCTGGGTGCAGTGTAAGAAAGTCAGGTGACCGGCATTTGATGAGTTGATTTTCCTAAATTTAAGTTTTTAATGTGCTTCTCACCCAGATTTATCTTACTGAACTATCAACCTGGTTTTCTTTGGGTTTACTTTTAAGAAGATCAAAAAGCAAAGTCAATGATTAATTTTTAAAGTCTTCCTGGTACCTTTTCAGGTCAAGGGTTGGCTCTGTCTTGTAGCTCGATTGGAGTCCCTAGAGGAGGTCCAGGGTGACAGGAGTGTACAGCTCTGGCTGCATTAACACTGGAAAGTCACCACCACCTCAGTATTCCTCAGTGTTTTTCAAAAGTAGTGAGTTTAAGCCAGGTGTGGTGGCTCACACCTGTAATTCCAGCCCTCAGAAGGCTGAGGCAGGAGGCTCCTTGCAAGTTCCAGACCAGCCTGGGCTGCATAGTAAGCTCAAGACCATCCCGAACTGCATAGCAAGACTTTGTCTAAAAAGACCAAAAAAAGAAAAAAAAAGTGAGTTTATAAATGAGGACAGGAGGGGGGCAGGCTCCGTGGGAGTGATAGCTTTCCTGAGGTGATAGCTTTTCCTGAGCAGCCAGGCATGTGCTGACACTGACTTTGTCACCCTGGTGCTGGGGCTGGGACCCAGGGCTGCGAGAGACACGTCCAGTCCCAGCTCACGCTGTAGTCGGGGAAGAGGTGACCAGACGTTTGTTGTGGCCGTTCACACTAGCTGCTCCAAGCTGCCACAGGAAGTATTTGTTTAAAAAATAAAAAATCCGAGCTGGGAGGGCATTGTGACTGGGTGGTTGTGTTTGGCAGACCTGGGTGTGGATCTGCCCTCCCATGGTCCCTGTGGGCTCTGGAACACGGGGCCACACTGCCCTGAGGGCCCAGCCAGCTGGAGTTCAGAGTTTTAACACCTTGGCAGTGGGAGATGATTGTAATTGGTGCATCTCTCTCTGGTGCAAGTGAGTGCTTGCAGAAGGGTAAAATCTGCTTCCTACAACTGCTGCCTGTTGACAAGCTTCCTGGGTGTGTGTCCGGTGTCAGATTGCCCTGGCTGCTGCAGATTAGGTTGTGCCTGCTGCCCTCTAGTGGTAACTTGCTGAATCTTAAGATAGCAACGTTTGTTTTTCTCCTGGCAGCGGGGAGCATTGATGATTTACATTGGCCCAGTTCTGGGGTACTGGTCCTGGAGGAGCCGGGACAGCCCCCCTCTGCGCACGGTGTGTGGGGAACCCAGAAAGCTGGCTGCCTGTCCAGGCCTTCCCTGTGATTGAGACAAAGACCAGTCCTCAGTGCACTCTGCCAGAGAGCAGGAGACAGTCGGGGGTGCAGAGCCTCAGGCAGCCTGGCAGTTGCACCGGGGTCTCCGGCCTTCGCTGTTCGCCCTGGGCAGCGCTAACGGGAGAAGCTGCTTCGTGTGCCCCGAGTCTTAGTCACCAACAAGTTTGTTCACTTCAGCTGACTTAATCAGTATTTTTGTTTCTGCTTTAAGATAAAAATGATGATGGAGGAAAAATAAAGCATCTCACATCCTCGAGAGAATGTAGTTATTGTGGGAAGTTTTTCCGTTCAAATTATTACCTCAATATTCATCTCAGAACGCATACAGGTAAAGGACTTTGTTTTTTAAAGCATGCTATGGTTAAAAGAATTGGGATGTAGTCCTCTGCCCCTCCCCCCTCCTTTCCCCCTCCCTCTCTGTCTCTGTCTGTCTGTCTGTCCGTCTCTCTGGTTCAGGTACTCGCTAGCACCCTAGTGTGGATCGCAGCTGTTGGTCTTAACCCTTGAGTGTTGTCCTGGTTTTGCAGTTATATTGAGTTTATGACTGAGTCTCCCGACTCTGTGCCGTTCAAACCCCTAACATTTTGTTTTTAAACTATGTGCACATTTTTAAATGAAAGAGGAATATACTTCCCACCCTTTAGATTACAGCAGCAGCTGTAGACACAGTGGTTGGGGGGGTCGTGTGGGTTTGAATTTCATCCCAGCAGCAGCTGCCCAAGTTGGGGAAAGTTGTTTAACTTTTTGTGGGCCCCGTTTCCTAAGCCAGAAAAGTGCAGTCGAAAACAGGACTGCTTGCTTTCTTCTGTTAAGACACGGTATTCACTTGTGATTTCGAGCCCCGGGGTCTCCTGAGTCAGGCTGGCCTTGAATGCCTCAGCCTCCCAGGCACCGGGGTGGCAGGCGTGGGCCACCATCGTGTCTGCCGGGTACTGCAGTCACACCTCTTGGGGTTCGAAAGGGTACAGAGCAGAGCTGGTGCGAGACCCCAGCTCTGAGGACGAGAGGTGGAGACAGGTGAGGGGGACAGCCTTCTCTGCTGGCCTTCAGCCTTGAGGGCTGTGCCCGCGTCTTTGCCAGCCTGCTGACCGTGTGGCGTCTCTTGCTGCAGGTGAGAAGCCGTACAAATGTGAATTCTGTGACTACGCCGCGGCCCAGAAGACCTCGCTGAGGTATCACCTGGAGCGACACCACAAGGACAAGCAGGCAGACGCCGTGGCCGCTGCGGCGGACACCAAGGGCGACAGCAAGAGCCGGGAGGGCGAGGACGCGCTCTTCCCTGCCGACAGCACGCAGACCAAAAACCTGAAGCGGTTCTTCGACGGTGCCAAAGACGTGCGAGGCAGCCCCCCGGCCAAGCTGCCCAGGGAGGCGGTCCCCGGCGGCGCTGCCCTCTGCCCGGCGCACACAGAAGCTCAGGATTTCCCCAGGAGCGCGGCCAGCGCCGAGCGGGCCCCGGAGGGACCCCGCAGGAGGGCGGCCCCCGAGCCCCAGGCCGAGCTCCGCGCCAGCAAGCCGGAGGCGGCCGAGGGCAGTGCCGCCCGCCCGGGGGACGGGGCCCCCAGAGACAGGAGGACAGAGCCCGCGGCCGAGCCCAGGTGCAGGCCCGGCGCCGACTGCCAGGAGAAACCCTTGAATCTGTCCCTCGGGGCCCTGCACCCCTGCTCAGCCATCGTCCTGAGCAAAACCTTGATCCCCAGCATCACCTGCCCGTTCTGTACCTTCAAGACCTTCTACCCCGAGGTCCTGATGATGCACCAGCGGCTGGAGCACAAGTACAACCCCGACGCGCACAGGAACTGCAGGACCAAGGCCCTGCTGCGGGCCCGGCGCACCGGCTGCCCGCCCGCACTACAGGGCAAGGACGTGGCGCCCCTGCCCGGGCCGCACAAGCCCAGGGCCCGGCCCGCCCTCCCGGCGCAGCCCAAGACCCTGCCGCCCGAGAAGGGGCGCCAGGGGCCCTCGGGGGTGCCGGGCAAGGCGCCCCCGGCTCCAGGGATAGACGCCAGCACTTTAGCCCCGAGCAATCTGAAGTCACAGAGGCCCCAGCAGAGTGTCGGGGGCCCCGGAGCGCCCAGGCAGCAGCTGTCGGAGATGTTCTCGAAAACCAGTGTTTCCCCCGCCCCAGACAAAATGAAAAGGGCCGAGGCGAAGCCCAAACCCCTGGCCTCAGCCCTCGCTCAGCCCCCAGCCGGCAGCGGTGCCTCCTGTGACCTCACCCCGAGGGCCGAGGGCCCGTGGGCCACCCCGGGCAGGGACTATCTCTGCCACCGGCACCCCAGCGGTGCCGCTGTGCCTGAGTTTGGGGAGCCCCTCCCCAAAAGACTGAAGCCTGGCGTGGTCGCCCTGGATGTGGAGCAGCCGGGGCCACCCTGTAGGAGGCTCTGTGAGCTGCCCAAGTACCGCGTGGTCAGGGGGATCACGACGCTGCTGCCGCAGGAGTGCGCCTGCCCGTGCCCGCCCAGCACCTCAGCATCTCGGCCCTGCGGCCCCGGCTCTGGGGAGGTGGACACCGGCAGCACACTGGCCGCGCAGAGGCCCTACGGCCCCAGGGCGCTGTATACCTGCACGCCCGCTGGGCACCCTGCCACTGCTGCCAGCCTGCCGCTGGAAGGTAGGTCACGCAGGCAGAGGCAGGAGGGGCAGCCGGGCGGGGGGTTGGGGGGCTGGGGCCGCACCTTGCTTGTTTGCAGTCTGGCTTTGTCTTTTGCAGCCTGGGGCCTCTGCTCTCCACCCAGCCTACACCCCCGCCCCTGGACTGTGGGGGGCCCTGGGGAACCTGCACCGCCCACTGCCAGCCTGCCCTGAGCAGGCTCTGAGAAAGGGACCCCGCTTCCCCACACTGTAGAGTTCCCTGGGGAAAGGTCTTTGTGCAGCCCTGTGTCGAGAGCCACCGCCCTGGGCCACAAGAAGGGACCTGCACGGCCGCGGTTGGAGGGCAGAACCCTGGGCTGTGTCGCTCCAGACAGCTGTGGGCTAAGCCCCCAGCTTGTCCCTTCCCAGTCCCAGGTCCGGGTTCTGAGGGGTGGCCGGCCACGCAGTGTCAGAGTCATCCTGATGCTGATGCTGATGGTGTGGGAAGGATGGCAAATTGACAGTCGCTTTCACACTCGGGTGGATTTTATTAAAATTGTGACGAAACTGATTTTTTTTTGCTACTTTTTAGTTAACATCCCCATCCCTAAGGGGGAATGGAGCCAGAAACTGCTTCCGGGGAAGGGGCATTGTGTTGTCTGTCTCCGCCTACAGACCGGAGTGTTTTCTGAGTCCCCCTCAACTTTGGGTTTGTGATACAGGCCCGCCCCACACAGGGTCTCGCCATGCAGTTCAGGCTGGCCTTAGACTCACTTTGTAGGCCAGACTGGTCTTGAAGTCACAGTGATCCTCCTGCCTCAGCCTCCTGAGTGCTGAAATGACAGGCATATACCACCTCTCCTGGCCGAAATGTATTATGCTGTCCTTCTCTGGCTTCTAAAGTTCTTATTAATGACAGCCTGGAAGCTAGATAGTTTTGATGACTTAAAAATTCCGTGCTGCTGAACGCTGTCACGAAACTGAAGATAGCCCTCCTGGCGTGCGCTGTAGCATGCAGGGATCGAGCTGGTGGTGGTGGGATTTTGGCTTGTGCCTGCCTCTGAATCCTGTCTGTGCTTTCTTTCCAATCAGCAAAAAGGCCTGCGTCCTACCAACACTTGTCCAGCAGCGTGCTCCAGAAGAGAAACTACGAGAACTTTATTGGGAATGCACATTATCGACCAAATGACAAAAAAACTTGATTTCCTGTGGGGGAGGAAAGGTAAGCAGTATGTTTATTGAACCGGAATGCATTTATTTTACTTAGTTGAAAATAAACCACCCACTTCTCCAGTGTACTACAACGTCGCTCTTTGGGCAGGTGTCTAAAGCTGTGGTTCTCAGGGTCTGGCTGTCACGGCCCCGCTTCTGAGCATCACTGCTGCTCGCCTCCAGGTGTTTTGGGTCACCCTTAGCCCCCGAGTATGGGCTAAAAGGCAGGCAGGCTTATTTGTTTACCTGCCATCCGCGGCAGAACTGGGGAGCTGTGACGGAATGTAGGGCCCCCGGAGCTGAAAGGGGGGGGGGTGCTGCGCACGCCTCACAGGTGAGGACCCCGAGACCTGCCAGAGTGGGGACCTGCGGGAGTGCGGCGGAAGCTGGCTCTCATCTCCGATGTGCAGGCCTGGCCTCCTGGGGCGGGAGCGTGGGCCGGGCAGGCGGCCGCTTCCCACCCCGTGTGCCCATGTCCTGCAGCTGTAGCTTACGTGGCGCTTGGGCGTGGTGCAGGCATCTGTAGGATCACAGCGGGACTCGAAGGGCAAGGCTGGGACTGTGCGTACGGCCGTTCCTGGGCCCTGTGGAGTCTCCGGCAGGTGTCCGCTGGGTTCAGGGTGCAGAGGCGAGCTCTCCTGGCCCAGGCGGAATCCTCCGGGACCTCTGCGGGGCGTGGAGACGCCATTTCCCGGGCAGCATCCACCTTACGGTCTTTTGGGTAACATGAAGGTAATGGGGTGAGAGGGGCATCGCAGGAGTGAGGCTTGGAGGCCAGCCAGGTGTGCGGCCGGCCCCGGAACCCCAGCCCTTGGGAGGCTGAAGCAGGACAGTTTGCAGTTTCAGGCCAGCTGTCACAGTAAAGCCAAACTAAACCAGTCTTGTGCGTGGTGACGCATCCCTGTAATCGCAGCACTCAGCAGTCGGAGGCAGGATCTCAGCAAGTTGAGAGCAGCCTGGGCTACACACCATACCCCATTTATAAAAAGCCGGGCATGGTGGCGCATGCCTATAGTTGGGAGGCTGAGGCGGGGGGACCCCTGTGTGAGGCCAGCCTGGGCTGCAGAGTGAGAGACCCTGTCCCAAAGCAAAAAACAAACAGAAGGAAGAGACAGGACGGAGGAGGTGGCGCAGCGCTCGCCTCCCCAGCTCCGTAGACAGAACCCGGAAGACCCCTCGGTGTCAGCTCACTTGCCACGCACACGGTGACCGAGGGGTCAGAGCAGTGTCCGCCTGAGTCACTCCTGGGAAATCTGGGCTGGCAGCTGGAGGGCTTCCCCCGTGCGCTCTCGGGGATGCTGAGCTGCGCGGCTGCCCTTCCTCACACGGTTCCTGGAGCAGCGCTGAGAGCTCAGTGGGCCAGCCGCTGATCCTTCCGGTGCGCGGAACGCCTCGGCAGGGCGAGGCCTGGGCGGCCGAGGTCCCATCGGGTCCCGGCGAGAGTACACTGGATTCCTTTCTCCTGCTTGAGAACTCTGCATCCTCTCTCCCCCCAGGCGCTGCCGGATGTGAGCGCGTACTCCCCGCAGAATTAAAGTTGAGCTCATCCTTTGAGAAGCGAGGGGAAGCTACTGAAATAAGCTGTGATTGTACTGTACACACGGGATGTGTGAGCAACACTACAGTTGGGTAAAGTTGTTCTGTTAACTTTTGTACCAAATAGCAATAAAAAAAACCAGTTGGAACCGTTGGGCTACACGTGTAGGAACACATGGGGACCGGCAATGGCTTCGTGTTGTCCCTGAGTGCTATTTTTTTTTAGGATTGACCAAATAAAGCGGAGTTTTGCATACTTGAGCGCTGCTGAACAGACGTCACTGGGGCGGGCGGGGGGTGGGTGGGGAAAGTGTATACTGCTTGCACCTCAGGTAAAAATCTGTACATATCTAAGTGTAAACCTGCTTGTTTAAATACTGTGTCCTCCTCTTCTCTCTGGAGCTCAACACTTGTCGCCGTTCCTGCTCTTTGTGCTCATTCATTTAAAAGTGTATGTTTTTTAAAAAAATTCTCTGTATTACGTGGGAAACTCTGCCACCCACCTTGCTGACCTCCGAGGACCACCTCCTCACCCTGTGCCGGGTCTGCGGCTGCAGGGCTGTCACCGGTGTGTGTCCCCGGCAGAGCACCAGGAGCCACCGCGTCCGTCTCTCGTCACTTGTGTTGAGAAATTCAGCTTCCTGGGGGTGCTTGTGCTTGGCTGCGTTAGCCTGTAAGTGCTGACCTGCACGTGCGAAGATGAGCCTGGGAAGCCGCTGTAAAGGAATCGGGAGGCCGGGGTGTGGGGTCCCTGACTGCGGCTCTCGGCGCGCCTGCCCCCGTGGCTGAGCGCGGAGGACACGGTGGCTCCCGGGCCCAGGGAGAGGAGGCTGCGTCCTCCCCTTCTGGGCTGTGGTGCAGTCCGGGTTTATGCCAGGGCCCCGTGTCGCAGCACACTTGTGTTTTTTAATGTTGTCCATGGCTGAGTTTATCCAGCAGTTCATGAGTTTAGCAACCACAGAATATATTTTTATGAAGAAAACTGTTTCAAAATTAAATTTGCACTGCTCATGTTTCTTGCCCTGATGTCCCCTGAGGAGGGAAGTGCGCAGAGTCCTGTTTTTCCTTCTTACTATGCGGCATGAGGTGTCCTCGGTTAGAGCGCAGTCTTAACTCCAGGGTTCAGGGGCCTCACCCCGGATCAGCCCGGCACTGCGGGAAGTGCTCTGTATCACGAAAGTGTACACGATTCCCTGTTTCCTGTTCACAAGCTGAGCCATGTGTATATAATCTAGATTTTTGTTTTCATAGTTTTGCACTTTTTATAGCCTATTTTTGAAGATTAACACATTTGCAAAAATGATTGATTCAGTCTTTGCCTAATCCAGTGAGTGTTACAGAAAGCTTGCTGTGATACAAATGTAAATCTTAAAAGTGGTATGTGATAATAGCAGGCTGAAATTTAAACCTGTATTTAAAAAAAAATCACCAAATCTATGTGGAAACAAATCAATTTGTGTTGTGCTGAAATGTTGTGGGCTTTCGCATCTTTTTTCCAGCTACATTTCTGAGTGCATAAAAATAGCAATTTTTGTAACAGCCCTTCAAAATGTTTTTGTCCATCAGTATTAACTATTGGAATACTACTGCTTTTGTATGTTTTTTTCTTTTGAGACAACAGGACATTTAATAGAGGTACAATTCATTGAATTTTTGTTTATGTATTTATTTCATTCCAGTTTGATTTATTTTAATTGTTACTTGTCAAAACAGTAGACATTACTTATTTTATTTATGATATATTTCAGCTTAAAGTTATGTTATTATATGTGGATGTAAATATAGATTTGGTGTTTTACAATCTTCGTTTTTGTTTTCATTGGGTTCTGGTTCCTGATTTCACCGCACATCGTAATGCGGCTGCAGACGTACACGGCGGTGGGTTATACGAAACCTCCGTTCTGGTCTCCACCCTCGGGCCCCCTTCCCCTGAGTGTTTCAGAGCACATCTCAGGACCAGTTTCACACAGAGTGATGCTCCCTGAGCATCTTCACGAGACAAGCCCTCTGCCCCCTGCCAGGCTGTGTGTTTCCTGATTGCCCAGGTCAAGAATGATTTCTTAGCCAAGGGCGGTGGCTCACACCCGTAATCCCAATACTTGGGAGGCTGAGGCAGGAGAATCTCCAGAGTTCAAGGCCAACCTAGACTACATAGTGAGAACCTGTCGGGGAAAAATAAAGACTTCTTGGCCAAAGGTGGTGGTGCACACCTGTAATCCCAGCACTCTGCACCTGGACTGCAGAACAACACCCTGTGCCAGTCAGAAAGACAAACATTCTTCCATGAACTTGCTTGACCTGTGGCTTTGGACGCTCCGCACACGGGGAAGGTGGGTGTTCTGGCCTCTCCACCTGGCTGCTGCCCCACCACCGTCAGGACCTTTTGTTTACTGACCAGAGCTGGGCCCGGTCCTCCCGCAGGGTTCTTGGGCTCGCTTGTGGGGCGTGCCTGTGTGCGCCTTGTGCTAAGCGGCTCTGGACCCGGAGTTGCCCTGGTCTGAGCCGCATTCAGCCGGGAGGGGAGTGTGGCCCCGTCCTGGCTCTGTCCCCTCTTCCCCCCCCATGCCCAGCGGTGCCTTGTCAGGGATGCCCGGAAAATTGATTTTCCCGTTTTTCGCCCCTTCTCACCACACACGTTGGCATTTTTTAAAGTACTTTTTATTACTGCCCGTTGGCCGTCCCTAATGACCAGGTTGGCCTTGGGGCAGGAAGTTAGCCGTATTGGTAACACACAGCAAGGTCCCTTTCCCTTTGCCCAGGTTTTCATTTTAAAGTGTCAGTCACTTACACAGATTAACAGCCACACCAGCAGGCCAGCAAAGCCAGAATCACAGTGAACTGAGGTAGAGGAAAAGTTTGCTTTGTGTAGCTGGTACCAGAATCGAACCCATGACCTCGCCTTTGCCAGGCAGCCCCCAGTGCAGCCAGGCTCAACCCCCAGCCCAAAAGTGGATTCATGCAAAAGTCCTCTGCAGAAGGCTATGCTGGCAACCACGCAGTGGCCCTGGGAAGTCCGCACTGCAGCGAAGGGAGCTGAGGCCTAGTGTCCTGCAGCACCTTCGGGTTCTGGTTCTGACCGCAGGGCTGCCCCACGCTGGGCTGGGTGTGCGGAGTCGGTGACTTCTCTGGCCGGGCCCTAGCGCTCGAGCTCCTCTTGAAGCGACGCTGCCCACTAACCATTGTGCCCTAGGAACTGGTAACCTGGCCACTGTGTACCCGCCTGGGAAGCCGAGGCCACCGCTTCGATCGCCCCGGCAATGGTAGAGGCCGAAGAACGGGTCCGAATCTCTAGATGTCCCCGGGATTGAGCGTTAAAATGCGTATCCGGGTCTTTACCCCCTGTGCACAGCTTTCCGATGGCGCAAGGGTGACCCGGGTGCAGTGGGTCCCAGACTGCGGCTCCAAACCGGCAGGTCACTGCACAGTTATAAAAACACAGTTACCCGTCTGTCCCAGACTGCAGAATCAGGAGCCCCAGAGGCCGGGGGGCCCCAGAACTCGGGTCTACACGCCCCTGGAGTTCACGGAGTGTGCCAGCAGCTTGGCTTCCTGTTAAATTTGTTCATCTTTGACAACACTTTTTTGTTCTTTTTGTCTTTGAGACAGGGTCTTGCTATGCAGTTCAGGCTGGCCTGCGACTCATAGTGATCCTCCTGCCTCAGCCTCCCAAATTCATTTCTTTTTTTTCTTTGTACTGGGAATCGAACTTAGGACCTCACACTTGCCAGGCAGGTGCACTGTGCCACTGAGGTATGTCCCTGGCCCTTTTTCTCTTTTAGATACAATTTTACTTAAAGTGTTTACCTAGCAGCAAGCTAGCAAGAGTCCTCAGAGAGCCCTGCTGACCGCTGTGAAGTAGCTAGCCTGTGAAGTTACTTGGTGATTTGCCCTCCATTCTTCCCGGGCCTGTGGGGTACGGGCAGGCGTGTTTATGCCCTTTTCTGGTGCAGGGATCCAGTGGTGGGTGGGGTTGGGCGTTTCGCTGGGGGAAGCACACTGCCTGCCCCCCTCCCCCCAGCACTAGCCAAAGCCTGAGGTGCAGAGGGGAGGGAAGGTTGGCTGGGAACCGGGACCCCCAAAGGTCGTGTGCGGGGCACTGTGAGAGGGAGTGATGCTTCCCCGCGGCGTCCAGCACTTTTCCAGGGTCACAGAGGTGCAGAATTCGGGTTCCTTGGTGCCTCACCAGTGAGTTACATTCTCAGCCTTCTGTGTTGATTTTTTTCCCCACTTTTGAGGGGTACTGGAGATCGAACCCAGGGCCCAGGGCCTTTGCACTGAGTTGCACCCCCACCCCTTATTTACTGAATTTGGAGATGAGGTGTAAGTCGCTCAGTTACCCAGGCTGGGTTTGAACTTCCAACCCTCCTGCCTCGGCCTCCCAGAGTGCTGGGATTGCAGGGTGCACCGACCAGCCTGGCTAGGTCTTGCGCTCTTAACCTTTACTGCCCGCTGCAGTTTTTGCTGTGGTCAAAGCCCGGCATTTTGGTGAAGTGGGCGGAAGCAGCAGTGAGGGTTGAAGGCCCCCAGAGGTCCAGACGCCTGGCCCCGGGTGACAGCTTGTCCTGCTCACCGACCCCGCGGGCCGCGGCCGGCTCCCCAGGACCCTGAAGAGTCGCCACTAGGTGGCGGTAGTGAGGCCAATCTGGCGAGGCAGGCGAGTTTTCAGAGCTGCAGGAAACACAGGATGGCTCCGGCCTTTCTGGAAACTTCCTGTCCAAACTCTGCTGATTGCTGACGCTGGGAACAATGACCCTGGCACTGTGTGGGTGTTTAGTTCTGGTTGGACCGGGAACTTTATTATTATTTTTATTATTTTATTTATTTTTTGAGTCCAAGACTTTTTTTTTTTTTTTTTGTCTTTTTGAAACAGGGTCTCTCTATGCAGTTCAGACTGGCCTTGAGCTCACTTTGTAGCCCAAGCTGGTCTCGAACTCGCAACAATCCTCCTGCTTCAGCTTCCCAAGTGCTGGGATTACAGGCATGCATCACCACACCTGGCTTTTTAAAATTTTTGTTTTGAAGAAACTCATTTTCATTAAGAAAATGGAACTCTGGTGGCCTTTGGCTTCTCATGCTGCAGGGTGCTGGGTTTGGGGGCAGAGCTCAGCGGCTGCAGAGCCCAGGGCCGCACAGAAGGGGGCCGCCCAGGTCCAGGCTCCCTGTGGATTTGGCCTTCTCTTCCTCCTCTGGCTTCTGAGTCTCCCCTTTTCCCTTCCCCCGTCTGAAGGTGACCCCAGGACCAGCTCCTGGGGGTGCACTGGCTCTCCTGGCTCAGGAACATGGCTGATGGGTAAAAAGGGGAACGGGCGGGAGGCACCGGTACACGGTGCAGCCACGGGGGAGGCTGAGGCAGGAGGGTTGAAATTTTAGGCCTAACTTGGACAAGAGTCAGATTTCCCCTAAAAAAATAATAAAATAAAGTAAAAAAGATGGCAGCGATCTCAAGACTTCTTGAACCTTGTCTGCTACAACTTAAATGTCACAAGTAGCCCCTGTGTGTAAATGGCTCTAGTGCCAGATTTTTAAAAGCAGTGGTAGACACACAGTAATAATACCAAGGGCTTCACCCTGAGCTCCATCCCGGCCACCGCCCCTTAAGAACAGGTTTTTGGGCTGGGTGGAGGTATAGCTCAGGGGCACACCGCCTGCCTGACAAGTGCGCTTGTGAATTAGACTGTTCTTTGCGGTCCCGCTAGGTTGCTCAGGCTGGCATTGAGCTTGGATTCTTTCTGCCTCAGCCTCCTGAGTGACTGACATTACCTGGCTTAGCGGGCTGCTTTAGAGCAGTGCAGGGCAGAGGTCCAATCGAGGCCTTTGCTCAAGGCGTGGCGCAGCGCCGACCTCAGGCTGCGCCCCCGGGAGGGAAAGCGGGCGGCGTTTGCTGCAGCCCAGACTCCAGCGCCCGGAGAGGCCTGTGTGGCTGATGTCACCCATGACCCGGGACCTGAGGCCTGGGCAGTGCTGGCCTTGACCCCAGGGGTGGCAGCGGTTTTGGTGGACGCGAGTGGGGACCCCGCAGTGCCACGCCTTGCTGGAGGAATTTAGGCAGAACTCCAGATCCTTGGGAGGCTGAGGCAGGAGGATTGCGTGGCTTAGTGTCCCAGGTGGATCTGACCCCCAGGATAGTTTCCCGCTGGTCCAGATGCTGTTCCCTGCGCTGGGGAAGGGGGCGCAGCGCCCCTGCGATGGTCCAGGAGCTACTGCAGCGGATGACTCAAGCCCCAGGAGCACTGTGCCGGACACAGGCCCAAGCCTGGGCTCAGGCACAGCTAAGTTTCCTTCTGTGGGTGCTAAATTTGCACTGGTGTGAGCGAATCCCATAACTTAGAAAGAAAAATTTTTGGTTGTTTTTTTAGCCAGGCTCTCGCTATATAGTCCAGGCTGGCCTTGAACTCACTGTGTACTCCAGTCCGGCCTCGAACGCGCAGCGACCCTCCTGCCTCAGCCTCCCTAGTGCAGGGACTGACCTTGGGAATTCTCCCAGCATCCTTGTTCTAAGGCAAGGTGGCGACGGGTGTGTTCCCGTCGTGGCCGCACGGGGGCGTCCGTCACCAGGTGAGCAGTTACTGCCGAGGACTCCGTAGCCATGACGACCGGAGCCCCGCCCCCAGAGGCCCAGGGAATCGGATCACAGCGGGGTCCCCGCTCCTCCCCTGCGCTGCGGGTTTCCGTCTTTAACATCTGCGTGGGGCGCTGGGAGTCAGGAAGATGCTTTTTACCAGCTGCCTGTATAAAGATTCACACGGCCCAGCACGGCGACCCGCAATGTAATTCCAGATAATCAGGAGGCCGAGGCAGGAA